ATTAACATGGCATACGATGACTCGGTCTGCATGACTTTCAAGCGGCTCTCACCAGATCCTCGGAATGATATGGGCGCGCCAGCGAGGGCAATGTCCGAGCTAGCTGGCACAATTGATTCGGCCAATGCGTCCGACTCCTCACTGAACATCTGCCGCGCCAACTCCTCGCGAGCCCTCATCGGAAGTGGCGTCTCGTCGTACCTCGATAAGTCGAAATATTCGAGTAGGGTTACGTCACCATGCAACTTGGAACACTGCTTTTCGATGTCAGCCTGCCTGATTCTGTCGACCAGTGTAATTGAAGATGCCAACCTCAAAACAGTCCTCGTCACCTTTTTCCTGTCCACACCAATCGAATCACTCAATGACGCATCTGTAACATGAGATATGACCGAGCCCAATTTGGAAGGTTTGAAGATCTTGGCGCTGACGGCGGCGATCTGGTCATCAATCTCGCCGTCGGAAGCGCCCGCCGACACTGCAATGCACGACCTCATGTGGTCCAAGATGGGGCTGCTAACGAACCGAGTCGGCTTGTTCAAAGCGAGCAATGCCATGGACAGATCGTCCGCAACAGGCGGCACTGCAGATGTCAATCGCCGATCTTTCTGGCTTGGGGTCGCGGTGACGATGTCACCTGGCGGTGGCGGTCGTTTGGGCGGTCGCCCCTTCGGCTTCGGCCTGGGAGGGCCCGCCGCGGCATGGACGTTCACAACCGCGCGGCCAGTGGCAAGGGCATCATGGGCCAGCGCTGCGGCGTCCTCCTCGAGGAGGGCATCCCACTCACCAGCATCGGCTGGCTGCGCCGGCGCCGCCAGGTCCGCCGCAAGGAGATCATCCCACTCCTCGGTGCCCCGAGGTAGCCCTGCGACTTCCTCAGCAAGGAGCTCATCCCACTCGCTTGCGCCTGCCATGCAGCGCGTCACATGGCTGTTAGATGAATCCCGCACTGCACTGGCGAAATCGCAGCAACGACAACCAGTGCCAAAATGGTTACGGACTGTGGCGAAACCGACTACCACGAGATGTTATATACTTCATCGCACTCACACCCGCCCTCTGGGCGTGGGTGGTTTGACGGGCTTGTTCGTTTAATTCCTCTCTTCCCCTTGAGGCTCTCCTGGGGGCCTCGGGGGCGCTCTTGGGAGTCCCAGAGGACATGGATCAAAGAAACATAATGTCTTATCCCCCTCCCTTCTGGACGCCGAAACATTGTTTCTTGTGGGCCTCTTGGGAAGTTCTTGAAGCGCCCTCGGGCGCTCCTGGAGCCACCTTAGAGCTATTGTGGGTGCCTCTCGGGACATTCTTGGGCGATCTTGGAGCAATTTGAAGCAAGGTCCCATCCAGTTTTGGCGGGTTTTAGCTTTTCGAGGGCGTCTTTGAGAGGCTCAGTTGCCACTGAGAGCCACCCTGGGGCGATCGTCGGGCCGCTTGGAGACATGTTGGAAGCTATGTCGGGCCATAGTCTGGACATCCTGAGCGATCTTGGATTCCATCGTGGGCTATATGGCGCCCTACTTGGACCATCTTGGGCCATCTTGGACGCCCCAGTGCTTCGCCAACACCCCCCCCGCTTCCTGGCGCAGGGTGAGGGGGGGGGAATGGGGGAATGGCATATCATTCCCCGAGGGGAGCCCCAACAGGGCCCCAAGAAGGCCCCAAGAACCCCAGAGGCTTCCAACATGGACTCGATATGTATTCACAAGATCTTCCCGATGTTTCATGTCACCAATGTAGGCGTCCTTGCTTCGCAGTGTGACAACCTACGCCCCTCCTCCAAAGCAGCCCCAAAGTATCATTCCTAGATGGGCTGGTGGGGATGCGCGAAGCATCAAAAATAGCCAACAATATAATGGACACGCGCGTGCACCCAAGGATTCCTACACTGTTGTCACGCACCCCCTCAGAGCTACCATCCCCTGGGCGTCGTTAACATGAACCCCGCCTGTCTGATCGGAGTCTTGCTCATATGTACCAACAGCGCACGCTGTATACAGACGTCGGAGTTTGCTACATCAACTGGTGTCGCACAAACACCGAGCCACAGCTGGCATAGAAATAATTGTTGAACCAGACACGATGCCTCTCCCCACCATTGAGAACGAGGTACGTGCATGACTAGATCACAAATCACAATAGCATAGACTACTAAATTTCAAAATTTCAGGTGTTTGTTCGAAGTAGTTTCGGGACTAGTTGAACGCACGTTGAAAGATTTCGACTAGTTCATCGAACTAGTTTCGGGACTAGTGTTTGACTACTTCAACTATTTCTCCCCAACCACCTCCCTCTGGAGCGCTGCTCATCTCAAGTTTCAGCACCCCTAAGGGGAGCCGCCAGGGGTGGTTGCACGGGCTCGTTCGCGGCCATTTTGTGGGGATGTCTCAGGCGGTTTGCTTGTTTCTGGGCTCAACATCCTTCGCTTGGAGAGCAGATTGTGACGATGTCTCAAGCGGGGCGCTGGTTGCAGCACCCCTATGGGGAGCCGCCAGGGGTGGTTGCACGGGCACGTTCGCGGCCATATTGTGGGGATGTCTCAGGCGGTTCGCTTGTTTCTGGGCTCAACAGGGAGGGAAATGACAGGAACGAGGATGAGGAGGAGGAACAGGAGGAGGAGGAGGAGGCGGGGGATCGTGAGGAAGGGCATGGGGGTGCGGAGGGGGAGGGGGAGCAGGAGGGAGAGGGAGGGGAGCAGGAGAACAGGAAGGAGGGGAGGAGGAGGAGGAGGAGGAGGAGGAGGAGGGCGCTTTGCTCGAAGGTCCTTGACGCGAGCAGAACGTTTGTTCCGAAGTCCAGGACATATACATATATATATATATATATATATATATATATATATATATATATATATATAATCATAGGGGGTGACTGCGAGGGGGGGGGGGCTGTAGTTGTGTGCGGGGATCGTTGGAAATGCTCACCGTGGCACTATCCTCCAACATGACATGCACTTTTGGCCTTGTGTGGCTAAACGCTCGTCTTACATATCCCACTGCCGACTATCCTACAACATATGCACATGTGGGAAGCTCCAAAGCTACCACGGGCTGAAAAGGGGAAGGCCTGGCAGCTGAGGGGGGGGATGAAGAGGAAGAGGCTCGCATTCAACCATACTCAAAGCTCACTTTGACTCACACGCAATCATTCGCATTAGGGGTCACTCGTCTTCGTCGGCCCTGTCGCCCACGTGGACGCGCTATTGTAGTCGACCGCTCATGAACAGACGCTCACCACGGCATGACCTAAAACATGAGATGCACATATGGGGAGCTCCACGCAGTGAGTAATTTTATGTTTGAATATTTTTTTGAGTATTTGCTGACTGTTTCAATTTCTCCTCTGAAATCCGCCTGTAGGAGGACATGCCGGACCTAGTCGCAGGCCCGGACCTCCGACGATCTGCTGCTCCTTTCGTGCGCGGCCCAACAGGTCCCCATGGCTGGCTCTCTTCTTCGCCCTACAGGGGCCCATGCTTGATGGCCCCCGGGGCCCGCCCAGGACGGGGCCCCCGTGCGGCCGCAGTCGAGGACGATTCGCCCGGAAAGGCCGAGGAAGTCGAGGAGCAGTCGAGGAAAAGTGGAGGACGAAACGATCGAGGAACCGAACAGGGGACCTCGTCGGAGATCTGGGGGCAGCACGGCCTGCTCGCGCCACCACAGAGGGCAGCTGGCGCTGCAGCGTGCGCGCGTCCTTTGCCCCTGGCATCGCTCGGACGTGTGCATGTTTTCCTTTGGCGAGGGCCACCGAGGAGCATCCGTGATCACTTGGCGAAAAAAACAACACACGCGAAACCGAAACAAAAACACAGGCAATGGGCGTCCGAGCGATGGCGAGTGCCGGGCGATGGCCGGACGCACGCGTTGGCCAATTGCCTCTCTGGCGCTCGGCCCCCCTGGGTTCCAGGCACGGTGGTCGGTCATCTGCATGGCGAATGCAGCAAGCGGAGCCTCTGCTCGGGGGTGGACAGAACCCCCAACAGTGACACGTCGATTAGTGAATTGTTCGTTTTCGGTTCTCGAGAGGGCGCCGTGGCCGATATTTTCCAGGCTTGCGCCCGCCAGGTTTGGGCCTCAGGTCGTTTTCACTAAACCACGTTTTACTAAAGGGGGGTCTGTCCATCCCCGATCTGCGTGTCCCACATGTATATCTCTATGTATGTATGTAACTTGCCTATATTGAACGCAGCGTCTTGACTTGTTCGTTTGTAGCTCATGATTTATACATGTAGATTCATGAGTGCAGCTTGGTGTGTGTGTGTGTGTGTGGTGAAGTTTCCTGTCACGTCCCACTCGGACGTCCAACCGGCATTTTGCCCGATCCAGCGTCGACCCCACGTGAGCGTGGCCCTTCGTCGGGGTGATTTTCGGTGTGGGCCCACAGCAGTCCACTGACTGCCCCACGCGATGCGATAGCGGCGGCTTGCGCGCGCGCGCGGTCGGATTTGACCCCCCCCTCCCTGCGCACGCGCCCCCCGGAAGCCGAGCACCAAAGGTTACTTCTGCCTAGGGTCTCTCCATGCGTGTAGCCGACAGCGGGAGGGGAGGGAGGGCGGGAGGGAGGGAGCATGAGAGCAGCGTGTGGCTTCGCACCGCCCACGGCCTCAGCACCCTTGGGAGATCCAGCGTCTTGGTTTATCAACGTCCCCGCTCATGAGGCCCTCGAGAGCATCGACATCACTGATCCTCGATTGCCGTGGGCAAAGCTAGAGGCCTTTCAACACGGGGGTCGTAGTACATGCGGCCAGAGTATCGGCACCGCATTACGCCATGCATTTGTGACGCAATTGCGGCGTCGGGATGCATGAGCACAAGGCTTCTGGCCACGCCGAACCAATGCTGCGCAGTCCTCCGACCCACGTTTGCTCTGGCCCGATGTGGGAGGCCCGGGAACGATCCACGGTGCTCATGACTCGCGGCATCAGAAGGTGTGTTTACCCCGTTCAGCTCCGCACACCTCTGCGCTGGCACGTGTTCTGAGGATCCTCGAAACACCAGCACCAGGACGACCTTAACAAGTTCATGCTGCTGGAGGTGTACGACAGCGCGGAGGGCCCGGTGGCCCACAAGGCCACGGCGCACTACAACGAGTGGCGCGAGGCTGTGGCAGACTGGATGGCCGAGCCGAGGTCGGCCACCCAGTGGGACGTCGTGTTCCCCGAGGATGCCAATTCAGATTTCCGACGATACAGTGGGGGCCCGCATCACGAAACCATCTGCTTTTCGTAAGGGTATCCCGAGTGTCTTCGCTCCTCGCACTGCGCGGTGACTTCCCGCAGCCGTTGAAGGAGCTGCTACGTTCAGGGCGCTCCGGGTTTCCTCTCAGGTGCGCCTCGCGCACGGGTTCTCAGAGTTGGGTCTCTTGCGAGGGTTTCTTGTGGCCGCGCCCGCACTGAATTCTTTGTTCAATCGCAGTGATTGTACTTCGGCCTTTTTGGGTCGTTTTTGGGGACTGTTTTTTCGAGTCCTGGGCGAAACGTGTTCTCCGGGCGAGGGTCGGGAACGCCCCCGTTATAGGAGCAGGACCTAGCCCATATGGCCGTGCCTCCCTGCACGGGGGAAATCATGTTGCTGCGCGGGGCCCTCAAACGGGGTGATGACCACACTGTGTAGTGAGTCGGTGGGGATTCGGGGCCATCGTACGGTTTTGGACTCGAGTCCCTCTGCGAGGATGTCTCGGGCGACAGGGGCCTCCAGGGTCCCAAGACCGTGCGGTGACGGACCGTGCGGCGAGGTCTCTTGGGGTTCCGAGGTCACCGTACGGTCTGTCACCACACGGTTTTGGGATTCCCAAGCATGGTTTGGTGCAGATGAGTGCCGCGCAAAACAGCTCCGTCAGCGCGGATCTGCCCTTAGACTTGGGTCGGGCATATCTCCCTACAGGCGGATCTTGGACGAAAAATAATTAACAGTCAACGAATATTCAAAAATAGCAAAAAATGTTCAAAACATCGTCCCCATCCTATTTTTTACTACTTTGGAACACTCCTCCTGTAGAGGGACTCGCCCGACTTAACCTGGGACTGCGATGCAGAGACTGCCATATGGCGCTTTCCTTTCTGGCTGTCGGCGGTGCGCGAGGGGGGTGGGGGAACAACGAGGAGGGGGGCATGCCTTCCCTGAAGGCTCGGAGAAGTCCCCCCTGCCTTCTGAGACATGTTTTGTAAGCCTTCCCTGTTGGGCGCGTCTCCCACCGCCACTGTCACAGGCAGGGCGGGGGAGGAGAGGATGGGGAGGTCCCTCTCCTCCTCCTCCTCCCCCTCCTCCTCCTCCTCCTCCTCCTCCTCCTCCTCCTCATCCTCCTCCTCCTCCTGCTCCTCCTCAGCCGCTTTGGCCCAAGTGATTCTTGGGCTTGCAGCTGCCGTCTTCAGAGCGGTAATCGCAGCTGCGAGCCAACGGCTCGGTTTGCAGTTCAGGCCGAGGGACCTCATCCCTCCAGCTTCCACGCGCCTTGTGCAGCCGCATGGGGCAAGACCCTGATGCCCTACCAGGCCCGAAGGCGCCTATGTGGGGATGTCCATCCTGCGGGCGCAACAGCAACTTCGCGTCCCGCATCAAGTGCCTGTGCGGGAAGAAGGCCCCGCAGGCAATCACCGACAAGGCTAAGAAAGCAGCAGCGGAGCTCCAGTCGGCCCCCCGTGGCAAGCCACCTCGTGCTCCTGGTGGCGCTTGGGCTCGTGGTCCTCCGCATGATGCTTCCAACTCCGTGGTGCGATCCATCAGTGCTCTGCATAAGCAGATGGAATCCCTTGTCAAGCAGTTCGGCCAGCAGGCGGGCAGCCGCCTACAGCCCGCAGGCGCACCACCAGATGCTGCAGACGGAGGAGGCGCTGACATGGCCAGTGACGAGGTCACCAAAGTTTTGTCGGCCAAGGTCAAGTCCTTGGAGAATACCATCCAAGGGATTCGAAGCGATGAGCAGTTCCCTGTCGCCATCAAGCAAACCATGGAGAAGGAGCTGGCTGACGCGCGCAAGGAGTTCAATTCTACAAAGTCTTCTTTGTCGCGCCACTCGGCGCTGGGCCACAAGTTGCAGAGGTCCACTGCCAAGCTGGAGCGCCTCGACGAGGACATCAAGACCCAGCAGGCCCTCATCCAGGCGGCCCAGGCTGAGCTGCAGAAGATGGAGGAGAAAGCCAAACTGGTCAGAGTGGAGATCGAAGCCACCAAGTTGGAGCTCCAGTCTACCATGGCGCAGGTGGCCCCGCACAGCGCGGTGCCAACATGTGTCTTGGACGCGGACGCGGTCAAGGATAAGCCCGAGGTGCAGCAGCTCATGGCCCCCCCGCAGTTCGCTGAATACCAGAAGTTGTTCGAGCAGCAGTGCCAGGCTCGGGCAGCCCAAGTTTCTCCTCCTCCTTCGGCCCCAGAGGGCTCGGGAGGGGACCCTGGTGGCCCTGGTGCTCAAGGGGCCCGTGGAAGTGATGGGGGTGAGAACATCCCCACTCCCATGGACACAGATCTGGAAGATATTTCGGATGAAGGCATTGACAAACTTATCGACGCTGCCAGGTCAGAGGACGATAATAAGCGTGCCTTTGGGGATCTTCTCAAGCAGCTGGGTGTTCAGGCTAAGAAGCAAAAGTGTGGGTGACGCTATGTTCGACGGCCCAGCTCCCAAGTGTTGTGGCATTCCTCTCTCCTGCACAGGTGCTCCCGTCCCACCTCTGAAGGGGGCCCCGTCCAGGTCCAAATGCTGAGATTGGGCAGTATTCGGTTGAGAGTTTCAACGGTTCCTGCTGGGCCACGCTCAAGCGGCGCTTGCGCGAGAGCTCGGCGATTCTTCTTTGTGCGCAGGAGGTCGGCACCAGTGTGGGCTTCATCGGCAGGGCCAGCGACAAGGCACGACGTCTTGGCTGGCATGCTCTTTTTGCCCCAAGCTACCTCAACCCAGAGACTGGTAAGTTTTCGGCAGGCGTTGCTATCTTTGGAATATTGAGTATTGGCATCAGATGGCCTCCTGAAGGTGAGACTCCAGTGGCGCCCCATCGTATACTCAAAGTTTTTGGTTGATTTCCCTGGATGGCCGACGTTATCGCTGTTCTCGGTTTACCTGGAGTCGGCGGAAGGCCTAGGGCCCATCAGCACGGCTCTGCTGGCCCAGTTGGGCCCTGCTATCTCGGACCCAACCCACTCGATCGTGGCAGGCGATTTCAACATGTCTCCTGAGGTTCTGGAAGGCTCTGGGTTCGTTCGGAAGCTAGGTATGCTCACGATGGCCCCGACGATGCCCACATGCAGGTCCCCGACTTCCAGTTCGATTATTGATTTCTTCTTGGTCGGTCCTGGAGTGGCTCGGCTGGTCCAAGGAGTTGCTGCTGACACATCTTGGGAGATCAAGCCCCACCGTCCCGTGTCACTAGCTATTCGCCCAGATGCGTTGACGGTCAAGCAGCTGGTCTACCGCAGCTTCCAGAAGTTACCCCTAGAGCTACCTTTTGGGCTTCGTCCTGCTGAGGGATGTTGGGAAGGTGCCCGTCTCCTTGCAGTGCATGCAGTTGCACGTGCGCGACGCAGCCCTGCCGGCGAGGCCTGGGCTTGCTTGAATGCCGCGTGGCGCTTCTTCGTCGATTGTGCAGAACTCGAGCTGGTGAGATTTTTGGGAGTGGAGTCCAAGACCTTGGGGGAGCGTGGTAATGCCATCAAGGCCTCATGGGCCCCAGTGTTCTACAGGCCGAAACTTGCAGATGATCAGCTCCAGGTCTGTGCAGGATGGCGGTGGCTCTATCATGCTTTTGCGGAGTTTTGCTGGCCACCGAGAGCCTCGCCGATGGCGGGTCCCAGGCAGCGATCCTCAAGGTGTCGCTGCAGCACTCGTGCCCAGGGGAAGGTCTCAACATCCGATTGGATGCCTCCCTCCGCGAGATGAGGCAACTTGCGGCCGAATGGCGTTCAGACCTTCCCTGCCTGCACGAGTGGCGCGCGGGAGCTGAATTTTTCTTGGATATTATTGCCGAGGGCCTCTCAGATGCCAATGACTTAGGGGACAAGCTCCAAAAGCAGTCGTGGGATACCTGGCAAAAGGAGGCCCTTGCAGGGTCGGCTCGGATGATGCGTCGTTTCACGAAGCTGCAACGGAAATGGCATAAAACAGTTGTGCAGGTTGCCCCAGGGATATATTCCGCGGGCCCCGTCAAGCTCCTGGAGGCCAAAACGGTTGCGCTGGGAGGCTTCTGGAAGGCCTCGTTGACCCCGCCAGAGGCTTGGATTCCAGACCGCAGGTGTTTCGAACGAGCGACCCCTGATCAGATAAGGATGGCATCGAGGTCATTCAGCACTCACACGGCACAGTCTTTGGATTCCTTGCACGTGCGCCACTTCTGCCTCCTGAGCGACGGCGCCCTGGAGGTGATGTCGCTTCTTTTCGAGGCGATCGAGCGTCTTGGCCTGTTCCCGTCGCAGTTGCTCTGGATGTTGCTGCCACTCCTGGAGAAGCCCAAGGGAGGATTGCGCCCTATTCTACTTCTAGCTGCACCAGTTCGTATCTGGGAGCGTTTGAGGCGTCCTGAGGTGGATGAGTTTCTGGAGCGGGCTCATCGGCCCTATTGGTCTTTCGGCGCTGGGCAGTCCTCGGAGGCGGCCGTCTGGAAACAATGTCTGTTGGCTGAAGAAGCGGCCAGTAGCGGGGACATCACGGCGGGGTATCATCTGGGATGGGCAAACATACTACGAATCCTTTCGGTTGGCTTGGTTGAGTGCCCGAGCTGAGTACTGGGGTGTCCCGCGAGTCCTCGCCAAGACCCTGTGCAATTTATGGCGCAGCCCTAGGATCCTCCGCCTTGGGGCCCATCACAGTCCTTTGCTGCATTTTACAGAATCAGGATTGTCAGCAGGTGATATGTTCAATGATGTGTTTGTCAAGGTGTATTCAATGTTTGAATTTGGTCAGTTTTGTATTCGCAACCCGCAGATATCGCTCGGATCATACATCGATGACGACACGGTGACGATGTCTGGCGATCCTGATACAGTAGTTCGCACGCTGACCTCGACCGCTGCAGATTTGAAGTGGGTCTTTGAGGAGCGTCTTGATGTGAAGTTGGCCGCTGACAAGGCCACCACCTTCGCGACGAATCAACGTGTTGCGCATCGCTTGGCCAGGAGGATTGCTTGTCACTGCCCCTCCGTGCCCAGCAATGCCGTCGTCTCTTTGGGCTGCGACCTGGCCCCAGGACAGCGCAGGGAGTGTATAGGCGGAATGACCCAGCGTAAGACACGGTTTCAAGCTATGAAAAAAACGCCGTGGTTGCATCAAGTATTTCAGGAAGAAGCTTCCACGGGATCGGTCTCGAATGAGCAGAATTTATATCTCGGGAGTTCGACCTGTGGCAGGCCAGGGCTCAATGATCCTGGGGATGTCAGGTAAGGAACTGGCTGAGCTCAGGACTGTTCTTCTATCAGGACTGACGCCAGCACACCGCGGTGCATCGATCATGGCGAAGGTCTGCATTCACGGCGACCCCGCCTGGCTGCAGGCGGCGGCCCCTGCTAGACAGTGGGCATCCAGTCTTTGGCGCAGTCTGACGACTCCGAGCACGAGCCCCCTCTCCTTCCGAGACCGCATCAGGACCTGGAGGTATCTGGAGGCGCAGCAGCTAGCCCTGGGACCCCAACAATGGAGATACTCCCGAGGCCCTGGACATCGAATGCTTCTGAGTTTGCATCGGATAGGTTGGCAGGCTCTTAACTTTAACCTTTGGCGCGATGGTTTAGGTAGAGCTGTATATCTAATGTATACTTCCCCATACAATGATCTCCAGTTTGTTGCAAGAAGGAGTGCAGCGTGCCCATGAACGCAGGCTTGCGGAGTCCACCCCCTCCTTCGTCGGTGAGCGTGTGTCGGTCGACCCCCTTCGCTCTTTCCTCCGCTCGAAGCGAGCCTCTCCGCAAGCCAAGTACTGGGTGTGCGCGTGTTTCTCCAAGGGCTGCTGGACGGCTGATCGGTTACCTGAATCAGGCTACGTCTCAGATGGCAAATGCCCACGATGTGGCCAGCCAGACTCGATTTTCCATCGTCAGTGGCTCTGTGATGATTTGGAGGTTGCCCAGACCCGCGCAGAGGCGATCGCCCAGGATATCATAGATGCTGCACGAGCGAGCCCCCCAGAAGAACACGTGTTCTGGTCTCGCCTGATGATGGCCCAGCCTGGTTTAGAGGACTTCCCTCTCCCCTCGACGGCGACGGACCCTCTCCTTCAGGATGGCGACGGCAGGCCATTATCACTCCAAGAGTTTGTAGAGCTGAGCGAGAGTTGCGATGTAGTCGTGGACGGCTCGGCTACGCAGTGCATCATAAAAGGTTTACGCCGAGCTAGTTTTGCCGCGGTTTTCCTGGAGCCAGGTCCTGAGTACAAGATCAGGGCCCGACTCATGGCCCCAAGTTGGCCAACGATCCCGCAAACTCCCCAGGCTGCGGAAAATGTTGGTCTTGCCACTGTTTGTGCGTTCGCGTCTGGTTTGAGCACCCTTCACAGTGATTGCAAAGGGGCCATCCGTTTGCACAATGCTGCGGATGCGGCCCAGCTCGGACCCAAGCATATGTTTGCGGGAGTGCGCAAGGCGCAGCAGGCTTTTGGTTTCGACGCCGCGGGCGAGGCCCTTTACACCCCAGCCCACAGATCGGAACAAGTAATTCAAGAGCTCCCACCAGAGGAGCGCAGGATTGCTCTGGGCAATGCCGACGCCGACCGTTTGGCGAAGCATGCACTCTCCCTTCACCCTCAAGCGTCAGCTGCTAATCTGGCTGAGCTGGATAGGCGGGTGAAGCTCCTTCTGGACTGTGCGAAAATGTTCGGGGCGGTGCTCCCGCTTTTTCCCAAGTTAGATTTTGTTCGGCCCCCTCCTGCGGCTCGCCTCCCAAAGGTGAAGACACCGCCAGACTGGCACGAATGGGAGGAGCTCGAGGACGGAGGGGTTTTTCGATGCAGCAGGTGCTTTCTGGTCTCTTTCGAGAGCGATGCCCGACCTATGAACGGTTGTTCTGGGCCCCCTACTGCTCTCAGACGCCTCGAAGGTGCTGAGACAGAGAGGCGCCATCGGTTGGACTTTGCTGTGCTAAAGGAGACCCGCAAGCCGCTCTTTTTCTGTACCAGATGTGGGGCGTACACCAGCAGACGCTGCCACTTGCTCGGCCAGATGTGTCTCGGAGAGCTCGGCACCTCAGGAGAAGGTGCCATCGAGCGCATTCGAGATGGCCTCCATCCTCATTATCGTAAGAATCCTGAGGGTGATGATGCTGTTGCACCATGCAGGCCGCCGCCTAAGTCGGTGCTCCTGGCCCTTCCTGGCCCCGCCTCAGCAGGCAAGGCTCGCTTGGTCGACAACGATCGGCTGCGGGCCCTGGCTGAGCGCATTCGGGCCAAGGAGGCAGCCGCATGATCGCGGCCACTGATCGGGATGTTCTGCCTCAGGCTGTCTGGTCCTGCTCCTCCTCCTCCTCCTCCTGCTCCTCCTCCTCCTCCTCCTCCTCCTCCTCCTCCTCCCGGTGGTGGTGGTGGTGGGAGATCGGCCCGTCCTTCCCCGAAGACGCGGGCCTTCTGAGAAGCCCCCGCCGCCCTCCGAGACGGCCCTCTCCTCCTCGCTCCCCCCTCCCCCCCTCGCCCGCCGCCCGAGGCTGCGGCACGAAGGAGCGAGGGCCTCGGGAGGGGCAGCGGGCCCTGGGACGTTACCCGCCGCTCCCTCGGGGCTCCAGAGGCAAGGGCGACGACGACGACGACGACGACGACGACGACGACGACGACGACGGTGACGGTGACGACGACGACGGGGAGGGAAACGCCGGCCCCGAGGTCCAGCACCCGTGTCCTCCTGGGGCCCGTCCCCCGCCCTTCCTGCCGGGCCCCGCCCCCGCTTGCCTACCCTCCGCTCCGGGCGTTGCAGGAGGTCGTGCGGGCCTCTACTTCGGCTCCGAGAGCACTCGCGCGCACAGATTCGAGCACACCCGCACGCCTACATATGTACATACCTATATACTACTCAACTGCACCTACACGTGCACATACCCACACGCACACATTCCACGAAGAAGGGGGAGGGCGAGCTCCCCAGGGGTAGACGGCACAGAATTGTGACGTCGGAGGGGGATGGAGATATCCGAGGATCGAGATTCGCAGAATGGAGTGTTGCTTGGATGTCTTCATTTCTTGTTTGGGCCTCCGGAGGGTTTCCGATGCCTCCAAGATATCGTTCTTCCAGCTCTCCTTCTTCCCCCAGAACGTCCTCCTCTCCTCCCTCTCGCTCTCGCTCTGTCTCTCTCTCTTTCTCTTGCTGCTTCCGTCGATGCTACTCCTCAGTTGTCTTCTCGTCCTGCTTATCCTGCTGCTCCTCCGCCTCCCAACCCCGCTTTCCCTCTCCCTCTGTCTCCCAACCCCTCGGCTTTCCCTTCCCCCGCTCTCCCTCCTCCCCGTTCGGATCTCGTCGAGTTGTTATTGTTGTTCCTGTCTTCCTGCTCGCAACGCACACAGGCAGAGGCGGCGGAGAGCTTGAGAGAACCACCTACAGGCGGCCCGGATTAGTAGGTCGACCCTGCCAGATCAAGGGTACCCTCGTGTCCCGTGTCTTGCGACCCGTGCCTCCTGCCTTCCCATGGCATTGTGCCCCTCGGAAAGGGTCTTTTGCCCTCTCGCGTGTCCTCTCCACTCAAGTCCGACTGTACCACAAAAAAACTGGGAGAGCAGATATGCCCACCCCCAGGACGGCGGGGCCTGCGTCTGCAGGGCCACGCAAAGAGGGTGCGAGGGCCTCCAGCTGGCTCAGCCGCCCCTCTGGGCGCCTGTCCTGCCCTGCGCTGGCCCCTCCAGAAGGGGGAGGAGGAGTAGGAGGAGGAGTAGTAGGAGGAGGAGGAGGAGGAGGAGGAGGAGGAGGAGGAGGAGGAGGGGAGGAGGGGAGGAGGAGGAGGAGGAGGAGGAGGAGGAGGAGGAGGGAGGAGGAGGAGGAGGAGGAGGAGGAGGAGGAGGAGGAGGAGGAGGAGGAGAGGAGGAGGAGGAGGAGGAGGAGGAGGAGGAGGAGGAGGAGGAGGAGGAGGAGGAGGAGGAGGAGGAGGAGGAGGAGGAGGAGGAGGAGGAGGAGGAGGAGGAGGAGGAGGAGGAGCAGGAGGAGGAAGGGGAGGAGGAGAAGGAGGAGGAGGAGGAGGAGGAGGAGGAGGAGGAGGTCTGGCGCTTTGACTGCGGCCCCTCGTGGCTCGGTCCTCCTTCCTCGGCCGGTCCCCTTTTCGCTCGGCCGCTCTTGGGCCCTGGGTCCTGTCCCTCGGCTTCCCTTTCGGTCCCTTGTCGGGCCTCTTCGGTCGGCGCCGCCGTCCTTCGGAGCCATTGATGGACGTTGGCCCACGCGCTGATAAGATGGTCCTCGTCGTGTAGCCTGCAACCTCAGCGTGGTCATTGCCCCTCGCCCTTCCGCCCTCGTTCTCTGCCATCGCGTCATCGTGTCTCCTAGTCCTCAGCCTCCCCCCCCACTTTTCTTTCTGTTCCTCCCGCTTCACCTCTCCCTATCTCCCATCCGTTAGTACTCGAACGCCTCATAGTATATGTGACTACCTTATTCTCGTCATCATTCTCCCCTGCCTTTCCCCGAGGAGGCTTCGGATTTGGAGCCGAAGTGCTTGGTTGTCGAGCGGCCGTACGGCAATGAGATTTTCACTGTGCTGGTCGAGCGCCTCGAGATCATACCAGGTTCGGATGTCATGTTCCAGAAGTTCTCCTCCGAGTACGCTCGAACTACCCGAAATAGAGAAGACGGCTGCCTTCGGGCCGACTTGTGGAGGAACGTAGACGATCCCAACAAGTTTTTAATCCTGCGCGCGTATCGCACTCCCGACGTTATTAAGAAACACAAGAGCACCGGGCACTATATTAAGTGGCGCCGGGACGTGGGAAGCTACATTAAGGACGGCGCCCCCGTGGGAAACTTCAAGACGTATGGTGCAATTTTCCCCACTTCGCCCGCTGCGTGGTCTACTCCCAGGGATGACTGAGCTGCGTTTAGGCAGAGCTCCCAGCGTGTGCCCGACCCTGTGGCATTTTTTGGAAGTGTGTGGACGTTGCCAGAAGAAAAACACATGTTGCTGACATATATGTTCCTTCATTCACATGCGCACTTCATGATATCATCCGCCCTCCCTTAAATGCCCTTCAATTTGCTGAAGCTGTGCTACGTGTGTTCAGGTTGCTCCGCAATATTGCAGTGATCATCTGCAGTGCAGTCGATTCCTGCTGCAGAAGATCTGCGCCTTCTGGCTAATGTACGCACTTCGTGCAGAGATCTCCAGACACCTCTGGACCCATCCCCCCCCCTCCTCCTCGTCCTCCCCCGTCGCTGGCCCTCGCCCTCGCCCTCCCTCGTGCTCGTCCTCGTCCTCGCCCTCCTCCTCCGAGGAGGGGAGGAGAAGGAGGAGCAGAAGGAGGAGGAGGAGGAGGAGGAGGAGCAGGAGGAGGAGGAGAAGGAGGAGCAGGAGGAGGAGGAGGAGGAGGAGGGAGGAGGAGGGAGGAGGGAGGAGGAGGAGGAGGGAGGTGGAGGAGGGAGGAGGAGGAGGGAGGAGGAGGAGGAGGAGGAGGAGGAGGAGGAGGAGGAGGAGGAGGAGGAGGAGCGCTGCGCTGCCCGCGCACCGCGGCCCAGGCCCCCGCGAGGGGCGCCCGTCTGCGGAGCCGGCGGGGCGGCCGGCGCGACGGATGCCAGCGCGCCGCGCGCCGCGGGTCGGGTATAGCCGGGACCCTGGGTAAGGGGACCCGGTTAGTGGTAGAGCCCTGGGGCCCCTCAATTGGCCAGTTTCACTAAACCAGGTTTGTCGTAACTGGTGCTTTTCGGGTGACGGCAATTCCGCTTAGTGGGAATGGGACGGGGAGGCGCCCCCGGTACAAGTCACTAAACCAGGTTCCCTTAAACCCAGTTCTGCCAGCGCCCAAGCGGGGCGCGGGGCGTGACGTTCGGTGGCCTGCGGTTGGGTCGGGCATGTCTCTTTCCAGCGCGGAGCCCAAACAGTGAGTTCTTGCAGTCTACGCGGTGCAGTCTATCACCACCTACCAAACCACCCTAACCCAACCCGAAGGCCTCACTTTGCCCTCCATTTCCAGTGGGGGGGGGTCGGGGAACATCGAAAAACACGTATGGAACCCATACCCCCCAACCCGAAATCCGGGTCTTCGGGTTGGGTTGGGGTGGTCTGGTAGGTAGTCAGTCTATGATCAAGCAGTGGCGAAGCGTCATGGCTCGACTATAGGCTATAGGTCTACCAAACAGTGTTCTAAGAACCTTCTGTGGTTTCCACGAAGTGTTCGTAGAACATCTCTGGCGGAGCCTGCCTTGTTTTATCGCAGGGTTTATGTTCTAAGAACCTTTTATGTTATCAGAACGTCTTTGGGTTCTAAGGACATGTCGTGGTAGGACTATAGGAATGCCCAGACGGTCGGTCCCTACTCAATACGTAGTACACTGTGCGCGGTGCAGCCCGTGTGATGCGAGCTGTGCTGTGCAAGATTTGCGGTGCAATCTATGTGGTGCCATCTACGTGGTGCAACCCATTCAGTGCAGACCATGCGGTGCAACCTATGTGGTGCAATTAATTTATGTTCGCAGTGAGTTGTCCACTCCACTGCTCGCGCAAACATCCCACCCACCCACCCGCAACTTGGTTTGCAAAATCTCTTAAGACCGTGACGGTGGGTACCACATGGCACTTGGCAACAACAGCGACGCCGACGACGACAGCGACAACGACGATGACGACGCCGCCGACAACGACTACGACGACACCGACGACGTCTCCAACGACTTCGACGACGCCGACAACGACGACGACGACGACACCGACGACGACGACGACACCGACGCCGACGACGACGACGATGACAACGACGACGACGATGACGACGCCGACGACGACGATAACGATGACACCGACGACGACGACGACGTCAACGACGCCGAAGACGACTACGACGACGACGACGGCGGCGACGACGACGACGCCGACGTCGACGACGACAAAGACGACAACGACGCCGACGCCGACGACGACGAAGACGACGACGACGTCGCCAACGAAGACAACGACGAAGGAGGGAGGACGACGACGGCGACAACGACGACAACGACGAGGGAGGAGGGAGGACGGCGACGACGCGAACGACGAAGAAGGAGGAAGGACGGCGACGCCGACGACGGCAACGACGAGGGAGGAGGGAAGACGACGACGACGACAACGACGACGACGACGGCGACGAATAGGAGGGACGACGACGAGACGCCGACGACGGACGACGACGACGACGAGGGAGGAGGAGGAAGGACGACCACGGCGACAACGACGACGGAAACGACCACGACGCCAAAGAGGACGACGACGACGAACACGAGGAAAGACAGAGGACGACGTAGGCGACGGCGACGACGACAACGACGCGGGAGGAGGGAGGACGGCGACGACGACGACGACGACGCAAGAGCGCGCGCGCACGTTTTTGTTGAACATCCGTGTTGCGAAACACTGTTTTTGTATGTTTTTTGGACAGACGGTTTTGAAATCCTTCCGAAACCGATGGGTTTTGAAGGTTTTCGGTATACGCGCGCGACGACGCATGCCTCTGCACTTCGTCCCTTTTTTTTGCAGGGGATTCTCGCGACGGCACACGCGCAAGGGCGATCGACAGATTTCGACATGAGCGCGCGCGAAGCCCGTTTGGTAGCATGTTGTGAACATCTTGAACAACCGATGGCTCTCTTCAGATTTCGCAAGAGCTCGCGCGTAAGTTGTTTTAGCACATCAATGTTGCGAAACCGTTTGTTTTTGAATGTTTTTTTTTGAAACTCGATTGCGAAAGGTTTCTGAAGGATTCCGGCATGCGCGCGCGACGGCGCGCACGTGTGCACTTCGTCTCTTTTTTTGCAAGGGATTCGCGAAAAAGTGTTATATTAGAACAAAAAATGTCACCGCGTAGTGTTTTTTACAAGGGAACCTCAGGGGGGAAGCTGGCCTAGCTGGGATGGTATGATTTCATATTTAGGATGGACGAGTGTGCAGAATATGTATATAAATCGTGTCATCCCAGGGGGAATCGATAAGTCCGGGGGGGAGGGTCGAGTCTATTTTCTTTTTAGAAAGGAGGATGCACTTTGACCGTCTTGAAGCTGTCGTCTCCGCTGCTCGTGCAAACATCCCACCCTCCCGCCCGCAACTTGGTCGCAAGACCTCTTAAGACGAGACCGTGACGGTAGGTTCCACATGGCACTTGGCCACGACACCGACGCCGACGACGACAGCGACAACGACGACGACGGCGCCGACGACACCGACTACGACGACACCGACGACGTCTCCAACCCAACGACTTCGACGACGACGACGACTTCGACGACGACGACGACGCCGGCGACAACGACGACGCCGACGTCGACGACGACGAATACGGCGACGACGCCGACGCCAGCGTCGACGACGAAGACGACGACGACGTCGCCAACGAAGACGACGACGGGGGAGGAGGGAGGACGACGACGGCGACAACGACGACACCGACGACACCGACGAGGGAGGAGGGAGGACGGCGACGACGCGAACGACGAAGAAGGAAGGACGGCGACGCCGCCGACGACAACGACGCGGGAGGAGGGAAGACCACGACGACGACGACGACGACGACGGCTACGAAATAGGAGGAACGACGACGAGACGCCGACGACGGACGACGACGACGACGAGGGAGGAGGAGGAAGGACGACCACGGCGACAACGACAACGGAAACGACCACGACGCCAAAGATGACGACGACGACGAACACGAAGAAAGACAGAGGACGACGTAGGCGACGACGACGACGACTCGGGAGGAGGGAGGACGGCGACGACGACGACGACGACAACGACGCAAGAGCACGTGTTGCGAAACCTTTTGTTTTTGTATGTTTTCTGGACACACGATGTTGAAATCCTTCCGAAACCGATGGGTTTTGAAGGATTCCAGCATACGCGCGCGACGACGCGCGCGTGTGCGCTTCGTCCCGTTTTTTTGCAGAGGGTTCTCGCGACGGCACACGCGCAAGGGCTTTCGATAGATTTCGACATGCGCGCGCGAAGCCCGTTTGGTAGCATGTTGTGAAAATCTTGAACAACCGATGGCTCTCTTCAGATTTCGCAAGAGCTCGCGCGTAAGTTTTTTTAGCACATCAGTGTTGCGAAACCGTTTTTTTTTGTCTCAAACTCGATTGCGACATCCTTACGACACCGGAGGTTTTTGAAGGATTCCGGCATGCGCGCGCGACGACGCGCGCGCGTGCACTTCGTCCCATTTGTTGCAAGGGATTCGTGAAACAATGTTATGTTAGAACACAAGGTGCCCCCGCGTAGGGTTTTCTGGGCCAAGGGAACCTCAGGGGGACCGATCCCGGTTCCCCTGGGATGGTGGAAATTCATATTTTGGATGGACATCTGGTCAGAACCGTATATGATCTGCATATCCGAAAGGGGGGCGGATAACGCTGGGGAGGTGGGGGGGAAGAGTCTATTCTTTTCTAGAAAGGAGAATTAACTCCTGTTCGCAGTGAGTTGTCCACTTCACTGCTCGCGCAATCATCCCATCCACCCGCCCGCAGTTTGGTTTACCAAAAAACATGCGGTGGCGATTGGGATGAGTGCTTGACCTTGGGTTGTGAATTTCTGCGGCCGCGCCAACCCAAGCACGCGCGCGCAGCGGCCAGCTAGTTTGGCGCGACCGATGTGGCCGCCTTGGCGCTGACCGGTGGGCACATTCCAGCGGGCACTTCAGTGCGAGTCGGCGGTTTGGGCGGGCGCGGCATCATTGCAGCGTCGACCATGGTAGACACGATGCTGATATTAGCGATGCGGGTGGCGGTGTTGACAACGACGACGGCGCGGCCAGTGCGGGCGCCGATGCTGATCACGCCGACGACGATGATCGCGTCCTCGCCGGCGGTGCCACCCAACGTACGGGCGTTGGTTAAGCCCTCGCGCATCATCTCGGAGCGGCGAACAGTCAACGTCAATGGGGCCGCGAAATCGTTTTCATTGCCAACATCCGCATGTCCCATCAGCGAGCCAACC